AGGAAGGAAAGAAAGGAAGGAAGGAAGGGAAGGAAGGAAGGGAGGAAGAGAAGGAGGGAGGAAGAGAGGGAGGGAGGAAGGGAAAGGTCCTTTTTTTTTCCTCCAGGAACATGGCACTTTGAGAAAATTGGGACTAAAACATGTCTTATAATTTGTTAAATATTATGAAATATTTTCCTTATTGTTAGCAGAATTCTATCTTGGCAGACTATTTCTTTTAGGAAACCATTTACCCTTCTCCCCTTCTCTGGGCACTACACATCTCTTTCTGGTAAGAAATCTGTCAAAGGCACTTCACCAGGATTCTGGCTCTTGTAAAATGCAATCAAACTGCAGGCAGTGGGGAAATGACCATTACTGAAACTCCTTTGGAGAGTGCTTAGCTTATGAAGTTTATGAGCAGTCCTACCTGATGACCAGCTTACTATGCTCCTCTTTACTTCCTCCTGTAACAGGATGACTGCCACTTCTCCTCTTTGTCATGTGACCTTGCAGAGCCTCCAGGAATTTATGTCAATTGCACATTTTCCTTGGCCATTGGCTCTGGTCTTGGCCATAGACTTGCATCAGTCAGCAGACATTTTGCAGGCATAATATGAGCAGAGGCGCTAAGTAAACGTGTGTGATTTGGATTGGCCTCCTGTGCCTCTGCCATTTGTCAGAGCAACATTCTTCATGCCACCACAGGTCCCCAAATGAGAAGATGCATGCAGCTGACCTAGACCTAAGCCATAGCCTAGAGCCACACCCAGCCCATCCCAACATACCCAGAGTGCTCCAAAAGCTTCCCAGCTGTTTCATGAGCAGGGAATGGCTGTTGTTGCAAGCCTTTGGGTTTCCTGGTTATGTATAAAGCAGTATTATTCACTGAAAACTTCATAAATACAAAGCTTTCTGCATGAATTTCTATTCTGTGCCCTGCAAGCTTTTATTAAGGGCATGCATAGTGAAAGTCTGATTTTAGCTGAATTTGGGGAGGTAAGGGCCAAGGCTGGATGCAGCCTAGCAGTGGTGCTGTGCCGTGGGAAGGGACAGCATGTGCTCAAAAAAAAGTCAGAACAAAAAACCCCACAAAGTTTGAGTGTGGAAAAGTGCTACAGGCGTCTGGAATCAGTTGGCTCACTGAAGGTCAAGCAGCAACTATGAAAAAGTTGTGGGACATACTAGCATTTTATAGGGATTCTCAGAAATACCCAGGGAGAGAAACCCCATAAAAGTCTAGATTTTCTGCCATAATACACAAAGGGACATGGGCTATTGGTATTTAGGCATTAAAGGGAAGCATGACCCACCCCTGAAGGCTGAATAAGTGTGAGACACCTGGTTTATATTTATATAAATTTTTGCACAGGACAAGTCAACCTTCTAAGCATGATGCAAAGTAGCATATCCAATCTATTAAGCACCGTGCCTCTTAACTCCTAATATATAGCATATAGCAATCCTGCCACAGCCTCTAACATTTATTGAGTTTTTCTATTGACTAAGCTGCGCCAAAATATTTTTCAGGTTTTAACTCATTTACTGATTCATGAGATAAATAATTTTACTATCTTGATTAAATAACTAAGTAAAGTTTGATTTAGAAAAGTTTAGTAGTTATACCAAAATCCAGCAGCAGAAAATGACTGTAATTTCCTACATAACAATCCTTTGATCTTTTTTTTTTTCATTATACTTTAAGTTGTAGGGTACACGTGCACAATGTGCAGGTTTGTTACATACTGATAGTTTTTCTTTATCCTTTCTCCTTACATCTGTGACTAACACATTATACTTCCTTAAAATAAGGTGGGAGCCAGCATTTATAAAATATATACCTAAAGAGAAAACTAACATATACATTAAGAAGAAGTGGAGAAAAAAAGAAAGATTGTATATAACCATTTATTTTTATGCCTATTTATATAATTTACTATGTATATAAATGACTTACAATAAAAATTAGTGTATACCTAGAAATAACAGACAACAGGGAATTGTATTCCTGGAGTGAAATCTAAAATAGATAGATGTAATAGTTTTATGAATAACATTTTTGAGTATATTAGCTTATCTTCAAAATGTGCTTGGTCTTGTCATTTAGATTATATTATATCCATGTATATAAAGAATAATGATATTAATATACTCTTACTGCTAAATTTATACATTACTAAAAATAAAAAGTGTCATATATTTGAGCCTGAGGACTTGTTTGAAAATTTTACATGAAGAATATAAGAAACATAAGGAATACATATCTTGAGGATGAAATCTTTATAGTTACAATTTCTTTTTCAACAAATCTTGAAAAGCACTTTGATATGTCATTTATTGCCTAATAATGCTGATTATATGGAAACTGGATCTACATGCAAAAGCATTACATGTAGCGACATTAGTTTACTTCAATTACCTTTCTTAACTCTCACTTTGAAAGTAATCCACTCATTAAATTACTCATATATATACATATATATACATATATATGAATATATATGTGAATATATATATATTCATATATTTTTGTGTGTGTGTGTATATATATACACACACAGGGAGAGAGAGAGAGAGAGGATCTAGCTTTGTTGCCCAGGCTGAAGTACAGTGGCATGGTCTTGGCTTACTGAAACCCTCCACCTGCTGGGTTTGAGCGATTCTCCTGCCTCAGCCTCCCCAGTAGCTCAGATTACAGGCATGTGACACCACACCAGGCTAATTTTTTATATTTTTAGTAGAGACAGGTTTTCACCATGTTGACCAGGCTGGTCTTGAACTCCTGACCTCAAGTGATCCACCCTCCTCTGCCTCCCAAAGTGCTGAGATTATAGGCACAAGCCACGGTGCCCAGCCTATTCTTGTATTTTGGGTGTCTCTTTTTTTGGAGTAGTCATACAGAATTATAAAGCGATTCACACTCTCTTACTCTAAATGTGTTCAGTCTAAATACAAAAGTTTTGGTATAAATCAATTCTGTATATTTTTATTTAATTTTAAGAGTGAAGAGATATTAGCTAATAAAATTAACTTCAGAAATAAAAAGAACAGATATGGTTATCGTTCCTTTCCCCAAATATTTTAAACTTACAGAAGCAATTAAGAAGCAGTATCACAAGATTTAAAGTTTTAAGGATATTATTTTGTTCCCTAAAAGACTACACAATGTCAATACTTAAAGTTTACTAAAAATCCAGAAGTTGTCACATTAGACTGAACTCACATTTATTATTTCTGTTATTAGCTTACCTCATATTTATTATAGGAAGAATGACCTCTCCTTATAACCATTTTATATGACAAATAATATTACGTTTTGATTTAATGGCAACTTTATGCTTTATCTAAAAGGTAGTGTTATTTTTGTGTGTGAATTAATCTCTGTGCTCCAGTAACACTTCCAACATAGTTAAGACTCTGTATGTATGTTATGTTCTTTCTGTATCTTTGGACTATATGGATTTACATATTTGTTTACTAGTACATATATAGTATGTTTAAGTATAATATACATGTCTGAGTATAATATATACATTCTAACTGTACAAACTGTGCATATGCATATCGATATTGCATACAGCTGGTAGATAGACTCTGACCGCATAGAATAATTTTAAACTTAAGATATGTTGAATAACTCTTAAGTGCTGATATATTTGTGTGTCCAATATTATGATTCCACCATTGCTAATGCGCACAAAAAAACTACCAATTTATTTTTTACATATATAATTATATTTCTGATAAAAAGTATTTTTTATTCAGAAACCCAGTATCGGCCATTAATGTTCCAGTGTCAGAAAACAAAAACTCCTAAGAGAATTAATAGAAATTATCTTAAGGAATTATAAAGAACCATCTCAGAAATTTACTCTATTACTGCAAAATCTCATGCAAAGATAACCAAGTATGGTATGTGAACGTCTCTTCTGCTAAAGCTCATGAAACTGCTCTCCGATTCCTCTAGCATTGACAGAGGATCTGGAGTTCAGTACTCCATTTCATTCCTGGACATTTAGCCTATTATCCTTGTATCCATATTTCATATTTTCCTTTCATGGGGGATAATTGTAAGTTAAAAGTGAATTTGTTGACTTAAACCTTATATGGAATCATAGATCAACCTAAAGATTTCCTAAGAATATACCTACATATTGAATATTTGCTTTTTCTAAGCTGCTTAACAACAACAGAATAAACAAGCAAACAAAAACTCAAAAAAAAAAAAAAAAAAACCTGATGGTCCAAACTTGTAAAATGTATTTTCTTGGTTAATTATTTGAAAAACAAATATGAGGAAGAAAGACATTCTAGTGAATCTGCTTTAATTTGCATAGGAGAGAGTTCTATGTAAACTAATGATAATGAATATGTTCGGAGGGTTTATATGTGGAGGGCTTTGTGTTAAGCACTGTGAATATTTTGTTTCGTTTAAACACCACCTTCGACTCTATAAAGCTAAGAGAGATTATGACAGTTGGCCAAGATTACACAATGAGAAAGTAAGAGAGAGAACTGGAACTTGATCACAGGAAGTCACTTCTAAAGACTCAACATTTGACCATGGTCTCTGACGTGCTGATTTTGAGCTATCAGCATGTGAATGTATTCCTATCAGGTTAAATGAAATCCAAGTAACTTATTTAACTTGAGTCTCAGATACGTCAGAGTAAAAATAAATGGCCTCATTTGTAACATTACATTCTCAGTACTAAGTAAGCTATCTATAATGATACAATTCCATTAAGGCAGAAGACTTCATTTCATATCTACAGAACATTTCATTCTTTTCTTTCTATTTGTTTTTTTCTAGAAGAATTAACTGTAATTCATCCCAAGATGAGGCATCTATCTTTGCTGAAGTGAGATATGCAAATCATCTGTGTTGTTTGACAGTCACAGGCAGATCAATCATATCACTAACACAAGTCAGTTGTTAAAACTTGAAGCACATTTAATTAAAAGAGAGGTTCTCCCAGTTACACAGGCCAGGTGGGTGCATGGAAATGGCATTTTATCACTTATGGACCAGATAGTTGCAAATACAATCCTATCACCTAAAAACAAGGAAACAAAACAATAATAAGAAAACTTGTTTTATTTTTAATAGAAAGTCAGTTTTGCTTCAGAGTAGGTATTTTAAAATAAACTTATGAGTCCTTTTAACTTTTTTGCTATACCTTATTAGACACTGAGTTACTATTTTTTGAAGGAAAGTGAATTATAATTCAGAAATATTTTCTTTTTGTTAATAACCTTAGAAAGGACATAAGAAATACATATTTCTAGAGGAATTTATAGAAAAAATAAAAGTAATACTTCAATTAATAGTATTCTCCCTAAAACTATAGTTAGAAATTATAAAAGTAGGGAAGGGTCCATCAATAGTATTGATTGAAAATGTAATGTTACATGTATCAGATACATAAATCCATAAATCCATAACAATGGCAAGGGGAGACGTCATTACTATTTGAGATAAATTAATATACTTGAATATTTTCCCTCATAAATTCGCTAACTATTCAAAAAACTTCACAGGACTTTTGAATTTCCATTGTTTTACTGATGATGATAGCTCCCAAAGCAGTATGTGTAACTTTCAATAATAATTTAGTGATGAAATATTACCAAACAAGAGGAGAGGATTTTGATTACCTGTGGTATTATATTCTATCACTGTGTAACAAATCCTTATAAAAATGTAATTTTATAAAACGTATTACCATGTCTTATCAGCTGGGTTCCAGGCATAGAGTCCATCAGAGTCCAGTGAAGATGTTGGCCAGACTATATTTTCATCAGAAGGATTGGCTGGGAAGAGTCTGCTTCCAAACCCATTCAGCTTTGGTAGAAGTTCATTCCTTGTGGTTGCATGACTGGTCTTTTTGCTGGTTGTAGTAGTACGTCCACATTCATTCTAGATGCTGCCTGAAGTCCTTAGATGCCTCTCATAGTTCCTTGCCATGAGCACTTTTCCAACATGGCTGATGACTGCTTCAAGCCTGTAAGGAGATCTGGTCTCAGTTGGCCAAGTCTTGGATAATGTAACCTCATCACCGGAGTCACGTCTCATCACCTTTCCCATGTTCCATTGGTTAGAAGTCCCAGCTTCTGCCCACATTCAAGAGAAAGGGGTTATACAAAGGTGTGACCACCAAGAAGTCAAGATTATGTGGGTCACCTTAGGGTCTGTCTGCCACAACTATATATTTAAATATAGTTTCAAAGGAAGGACTGTGAAAAAACATAAAGAATTGTGGGGATTGCCTGAGAATTGAGGATGTTTATCCACAGATTCTGTAAGGCTTACATTAAACAAGTCTAGCTTATTCAGGAAGTTTTAAAAACTGGGCTTATATGACTTTACTTATTGGGGAAAGCTATCTGACTTGTCTTTGAGGGGAAAAACATTAAAAAATACAGATAAAATACTCTGTCTGCAAAACAATTGCTGGAATATGATCTAACAGAAAAGCCCAGCAGACCTGATTCAAACCTGATGTGAACACAGAAGGCTTTGAAATGAGTAAATTTAATTATTAAACCTAATTTTTCAGATGAGGAAACTGAAATACTGGGGTTAACTATCTTTTGCAGAGTCACACAGTTAAATAATTTTGGAGCCAGAATTCAAATTCAGGCAGCTGGCTTCAGACCTCGTGCTATTAAACCTGACATTAAACTTGACATCCAACTTACATGCAAATGTTACTCTCTCTACCAGGAAAATAACGCATTTAAAAATCCCAGCTCAGATATTACCTCCAACCTACAAATTTCCTGGACACACTAAGTAATAGAGTTAATCACACCGTCTTGTGAGTACCACCCACAGTATCCGGGCTCCACCACACTGTAATGCAATAGGTGTGTTCACACTGTTTGTCTCTCCTGGTGAATAGTCAGTTCATCAGAGCATGACTGTGTTGTGGGTCCTATTATCCTTAGCAAATGATGTAGTGCCTTGTGCATAGAAAGAAATTAATCTTGATGCCTTTCAAGTTCTACCCCAAACAGTCAAGTCATGTTGATTGAAAAGTACCTTCTCAGTGTGAGAAATTACCATCACAGTATTTGAAACAAGTTTGTATCCTTAAGGACTCCATATTGAGGACATTTTCTTCATAGGATTCTAATGTCTAATGACTTGGCCTGATCCTCACCTAATCCTTTAGAAGGCTAGAGAATAAAATTAAATTTTCACTTTTCCAGTGGAGGAAACAGGGTTTTATTGTGCTGCTTGAAACATTGTCACACTAGTAATCTCTTCAAAAGCGAATCTGTTCTGGAAAATAAAGGGTTAGAGGCCTCTGTGGAGGAATACAATAGTGGAATATTTTGAAATAATTGTAAAGCAAAACAGATAATTGTGTTTTCAAGCTCTTTGAAATATATACGTAAGATGTTATATGCCTGAGGTTGAACAAAAAGATAAATAGTTATAGTCATTACCCAATAATGTGCCAATTATAAATAGCATTGTGTGTACACGTCCTCTATTATAAAAATCAGAACAGGATGAAAACGATTATAATCACGTTAATAATTTGATTTGTTTCATTCATCTTTTGAGTTATCTTTTCATAAAATTAGATACTGTGTTATTTCCTTCTGGAAAGCAGAATGGTGCATGTGAGGAGAATGTTTTCATGTTAATCAATGCTGACAAGAATATTATACTTTAAAAAAAACAAAACAAAACAGAAGGTAGGCAGGTTGGGGGTTGGAGGAGGGACAAATGGAGAAGACCAGATTGAAATTATTAGTTGCCAGAAATATATCTATTGACTTTTTATGTTTTTAGAAGTACCTCTGTTAGCTTCCCAAAATACAGCTGTTTACAGTGATTGATAAGTTCCCGTGCTTTTAAGCTTATTCACATCCATTAGTTCTGCCTTTTTCCCCTGTTAAAAATCTGAAGCTGTCAGATTGAAGTAGCATGATCAGCTAATGTTCCTGCCAGATTCAAAGCATGTCCCCAGGGATGGCAAAAGTATTCTAAATCTCAAAGAAATGGCTTTTTAAATGTTGCCTGTTGACATTGGTCACTCCATTTGCTGTATCAGAAATGTTGAAATAAATGTCAGGCAATTATAGAAACAGGACTTTGATGATCAATTTTCTATAAATATTTTATGTTTAGCCCAAACAAAAGAAGGTATTTGGAATTCACTATTTTATGTAAGACTTTTATTTTAAAATAGTATTTAGTATATTTTCAAAATTGGTTAATTAATTTTCTAGTTTTCACTTCAAGTAATGATTATTTACTTTATTTCCTCTAGCATTTGATTATTTTCTTACAAACTGTTTTTTTTTTCTTTCTCCTGTAATAATTTTAGAGTTTCTGCCTTAACACATTTAGGTATATTTTGTAGGAACAAAGGGAAAAGGTATCAGGGAGAGGAAATGGTTTCTAAAATGTAAATTCCAAAGGCAGTGAATGTTAAAAGTTTTTGCCAGTCCCGTCTCTTACAGAACACAGAACTCAGATGCTCTGATAAAGATACAGGATAAATCACATCATTTCCTGCTCCATCATCAGAATATTATTATATGAATTAGATCACTTTTTTAAAAAAAGAACATGGCCTTAGTATAGAACAATAGCAAAAGTCTGGGGAAGGAGAGGAGTGCACCGTGAGGAATGGATGAAGAGCAGAAGCCAGTCCATTTACTGATTTGGTTCATGTGCAAAATAATTGAGCAATAATTGCATATATGTGAGACTCCAGGTATTTTCAAAATCAGCTGGCAAAATTGTGTTATTCCCTACCCTCTTCTGGCTTTCATGGGTTCTCTGTTCTCTCTCCTTTTCCTCCATTCTCCTCTTACCCTAATTCCTGACCACCGTAATCCAATACTCTGAGGTTTTAGGGTTTGGATGATTAAGGTTACCCATGGAATTGTTTGGAAATGTAGATCTGTAATGGAGAGGGGAGAGAATGAAGAATTAGAAGCTGTATGAAAATAGTCGATACTGAGGCCAGGTACCATGACTCATGCCTGTAATCCCAGCATTATGGGAGGCCAAAGTGGGCAGATCACTGGAAGTCAGGAGTTCGAGACCAACTGGGCCAACATGGTGAAACCCCGTCTTTACTAAAAATACCAAAATTATCCAGGCTTGGTTGTGGGTGCCTGTAATCCTAGCTACTCGGGAGGCTGAGGCAGGAGAATTGCTTGAACCTGAGAGGCAGAGGTTGCAGTAAGCCGAGATCGCACCATTGCACTCCAGCCAGGGTGACAAGAGCGAAACTCCTCAAAAAAAAAAAAAAAAAAAAAAGAGGAAAGAAAATAGTAGATACTGAGATCTGGAAACTGAGAGCATTCATGAATACTGCATCCAAAGAATATTTTGTACTACATCTTATTCATTATACAAATCAAGCAAATATTGCACACTGTATGGTGCACATATGACACTATATAGGTCAACGGGGTGAGAGAGCTGCCCAGAAATAGACATGCAATTTTGTTATCAGATATTCTGGAGAGGTTTCTCTGAGGAGGTTTCTCTGAGGCAGTGTCATCTGAACAATATACAGATGTTAACCAAATGAAGCAGGAGGGTTTGGGGGAAAAAGTATTCCAAGGAGAGGGAACAGGGTGCGGGACAACTAGGGAGCAAGGGAGACTAGAATACTTTGGAAGTGAGAAAACACTCCAGTGAGTGGGCGCATATGAAGAAAAGAATGGAGAGCAGATTACTGAGGTCCATTTAGACCATGTTTTAGATCCTGGACAGCATCCTTAAAATAATAAGGAGCCACTAAAAGTTTGAAGAAGGGCAATGACACCTTCCAATTTGCTTTTTTACAAGACCACTCTGACTCCTGCCTGGGGTAGCATGTGAAGGGGCTAAGCACAATACCTGGTGGCACACAGGAGCTTAAGTGGCTCTTGTTGAAATCAGGTGATGAAATGGGAGTGGATTTGTTTCCTAGGCTGCTACAACAGAGTACGTGAATGGAGTGGCTCAAAATAACAGAAATCTATTCTCTCCCAGTTTGGGATGGAGGTTTCAGCAGGACATGCTCTCTCTAAATGCTTTAGGGGAAAATCTGTTCAATGTCCTTTTCTTAGCTTCCGGTGTTGCTGGCAATCCATGGAGCTCCTTGCTTGTTGGCCATATCACTCCATCATCATGGCGCTCTTCCTGTATGTCCTCACCTTCTCTTCTCCGTGTGTGTCTGCCTCTGTACTCTTCTCCTCTTCCAACAAGGACCCCTGTCATAATGGAATACAGCCCACTCTAATGACCTCATTTTAACTGATTACATCTGCAAATATCCTATTTCTAAATAAGGTCATATTCGTAGGTATTACGGATTAGGACTGCAATATATCTTTCTTGGGGATATAGTTTAACCCCAAACAGGGGATTTTTGAAAGGAAGTGAGATGAGGGGTAGTGGAAAGAAACCATGTAAAGGTTTTAAAATATATTTATGGTGGTAGACTCAACAGGACTTCATGATTAAGTCTGAGTTTAGGGATGGAAGCAGAGTCGTGGCTGACTTCCAGGTTTCTTCCAGATGATGATGCCATTTGTTGAGACACAAAATCCAACGGACCAAGTAAGTGGTGGGTTGAGCATGGGTTCGTTTTTTGACATGCCAAGTTTGATCTGTCTGTGAAATTTTTATGTGGAACTGTAGATTTGGTGGTTAAAAATGCCTTTAGAATTCAAATGAGAGATTTGAGTTAGAGACATAAGTGTGGGAGTCATTTCTATTCAAATTATAATCAAAGCTATGCAAGTAGATAACTTTCCTCAGCCAGATAATGTTTAGTCAGAATAGAAGAAATCCTGACATGAACATTAAACATTTTAAAGGACAATGTGGACTATTTCAGACGTATATGAACAAAAAGGACCAGCCTAACTCTGCCATAAGAAAAAAACAAACCATCAAGAAACAGACAGAACATTTGAAATGATGGTTTTAAAGACAAAAAAACATCAGGCAACCACGGACAGAAAAATAAGCAAATACATT